TTTCTCTACTTTCTCCACCCCTTGACTATTGCCAGACCGAGCCCCTTGCTCCACTCCACCCCCCTAATCCATTTTTCTTACCCTTTGCCTGTGGCACATCTCAGCTTAAATTGAAGAACTGGAAAAAAGAGAGGTCTTCAAAATGCAAATTATTTATTTCTTAAAAAAGGAATTAGTATTTTAAATATTTATTATAAAATATAAATAAAAACTAGGATTAGGATTTAACTATTTGGTAGCTTAAAAACCAATTCTTTATGCATTTTACTTCAAAAATGCCTTGAAGTTGAAAAAGTCCAGTGATGAACACAGGAAAAGCCCATAATTTTTAATATAGGTTTTAGTGACGAAAGAAGTTTCCTTTAATATTTAAAGACTTATCCAAAACTAAAGAAAATAAAACTAGACTTAAAATCTTTTTTTTAATTAAGCAAAACAATATATAAAATTAATATTTTCTTAATTTTAAAATTAAAAAATAAACAATACCACTGAGTTTCACCATTAAAATTTCAAAAAACTCTATACTTAGTAACTCCTACTAATTATAATTAAAAACCTAATAGTAGCCACATAAGCATCCTAACTTTCTTTCACTGTAAGACCTAGACATGCAAATTTTGACTGATGCCTGGAATAGTAGTAGCACCCCCTCCCCCCAAGGCACCCCTTTCCTGGTCCTTTTTTTGGAGCACCCTTTTTTGAGATAACCGCGACCGCTTGGAAATAAGAGAAATCATTTGCGTTTTCGCGTTTACGAAAGACACTGGGGGCTCCAAGCTGCTAATCCCCACAGCACCCACAGCCTTCACCCACTAGCCTTAACCCCTTCTTTGAGGATGGGTTGCATCCCTTTCCTGATCCTGTATAGCTGGAGATTCTCATCAGGATTGTGTGCGTTTCGTTCGTGTTGACTTTTCCATTTGCCTTGGCAATTGCTGGCACTGTGTGTGGGTGGCTTTTTTTTCCTCTTTTTCTTACTTTCTTTATTTTCCGCTTCTTCAGCGGGTTTTCTTCAGATTTTCTATATGTGTATACCCTAAAAGAAGGTATATCTAAGAGGTCCTTTAAAGTATTTCGAAACTATTGAACTTTTTTCCATGTCAGACATGTGAATAGAGATATATAAAAACTGAAAGCTATAAGCTTATTTTAATACCTCATCTCTTAAGATATCAAGCTGAAACTTGGTACATGCTCTACTATACATATATTCTCTTTATAATATATATCAAAATTATCCAAATCGTTCCACTAGTTAACCCATAACTAAAATTTTTAGAAAACTCTTCCTTAAGAGCTCATTTTAAAAAAAGTTTATGTATAGAACCTTCGGTTTTTTTTCTCATTTATTTTTCTTATATATATACATATATACATATATTTTTTTTTTGTGCCTGGCTTTCTTTGAACCCGTCGTCTTCAACTGGTTTTCTTCAGTATCCTGTGCGCGTATCCTGCGGGCTTTGTTTGTGCGCGTATTTGTTTAAGCTACACATGTCTATATCTATGTGTTTCTATGGGTGTATGTGTGTATATGGATGGTGTTTGCTTACATGTGTAAATTACTTTTCAATCTTGTGATTACTTTTTTCCACATTTAATTATTTTAATTACGGCCCAGTGCACACACACACACAGTGACTTTGCATTCGCAACCAAAGCCCTTTCCTTGGAAACTAGTTGAAAGAACCTCTGTTCGTCTGTGGCGGCAATATCCGCTTTTCTTTTCTCCAAACTGGATACCTCGGAAATTAAGAAAGTCTTACTAAAATCGCAACAACAAAAAAAAGCCAAAACAATGTCAAGGAATTATAAAAAATGGAGAAAAGAAACATGCGGATGTTTTACAGGATATCTTAGCATCAATGTCTTGAGAAGAATTAACTTTTTATTTTTAATGAATTATTCATCAACTTCTGAGGAAGGACGTTCCAGGAATATTACATTAAATATTAAATATTATACCTTCTATATTTTATGCGATATATTAAATATAGAATAAATATATTAAATATATGTTGGTGTTGTATACCTTTTTGTATCAAAATATTAACTACATAAGTATTAAAAATGAAATAATACGAAATCCCTTTAAAACTTTAGTGTGTCATAGGCCTTTTTTCAAAAATTTCTTAGCGAAAAGTTCACTTTAATTTTCCATAATTATTTATTTTTATTAATTATCTATATAATCTATGCAATTTATAATCTCCTTTATTATCTATATTTTTTATAAATTAAGTAAGCAAATGTTACTATACTTTTATGTAAAAATAAATGCAATAAATAATATTTTGAGTAAAACGATGAGCTATAATATCTTTTGAGGAGGAGAATTTTAGTGTTTATAAACCTTTATTTTAGTAACAAATATATTCTATAATTTTCTTAGTTTATTTTAATAAAATTAAATCCCCCTTTTCTTATTAATCTCTATCTCTAGTACCTTCTTCGTCATTATGGGAAACCCCTATCGCTGAACTCGGAAAAGTTTAAAAGTTGGAAAAGCACTCCATCGATGATTCCTAATGGCCATGATTATGCGGATCGGACAGCTGCTTCGCGGCTCCTGAATCATCAGATATATGTATATTTTAAATATATATATAAAATGCGTCAGGGCACTGATAAGGCACCTGGAAATGGGCCAGGCGCCACCTGTCGCAGAACTGGGCTTTTGGGTTCGGTCTTGGAACGGCACTTGCGTCTGACATCTGGCTTTCGTTTTTCTACTGCGATCGTGAAAGTAGAACGGACAGGTGCCGATTTGATAATTTCTTAAAGAAAGTCACTAGTTGTTACAAAATATTTACCTTTTTTATGATATTTTTGTAATATTTGGTTTTGCTTTTAAAATCTTAAGTTTTCGATCATCGACATTTGTAACGATAACGAAAACTTAGTGTTGAATAACGTTCACAGGACAACGGACAACTTCAAGTCCGTGCTTGCTTTTTCCCCCAAAAAATCGATGTCTATAAAAAAGATATAGCCTATATAGTTCTTCTTCTTCTTCTATATAGCCTTCTTTTGAAACAAGGACCTTTCCAGTAACATCCTTAAACCAACCCAAGTTCTTTAAAGCGATCGTTGGCGGACAGCGGACAACGGACAAGTGCAAGTCTGTGCATGTTTCTCTGTCTTTCTTCTCCCAAAATCTCTAGATGTAGATTCCTCTGGTTTTTTATACCAAGTCTTTAATATTATTCTTGCAACTAAGCCAATATTTAAGAAAAAAATGCGATCGTTGACGGACAGCGGACAGCGGACAACGGACAAGTGCAAGTCCCTGCACTTGAGATAAGCCGGATTCTGCTTCGGTCAACGTCGCAGCCTGCTCCGAAAAATCTCTCCCTATTTTTTTTTTGGGACCCACCATTTTTTTTTTTATTCAACGAATTTTTTTCTGCTGTTGGCTTTTTTTTTGGGGGGAAGGAGCCCACAAATGACGGAATGCCGCCCTTTTTTCGGACAAATTGTTGACCCGAAGCTCTGCCTCGTCCTCGGCCGCTGCCGGCGTCGCAGTCGGCCGCGGGGGTGGCAGCGATTGCGCCGACTCGTCCAACTGTTATACGCCCTCGTTGCGAAACTGTAACTGTTCTACGTGAATTTTTCGGTGAAAGCCGAAGCCAGCGACTCCGAAAAATGACGACAGCCGGCAGCGACGTCGACAGCGACGCCGGACGTACTTTCGGCTGCAATTCTGCCGCTGCCGCCGCCGCTGCCGCTGCGTTCGAGAAAAGTTCGACAACTTTGGAAAACTGTCAGTTCGCAGCGAACTTAGAACAGGTAGAGACGCTCACGTTCCGCCTGGAAAACGGGAAAACGTAATAAACGGAATAACGGAACAGGCTGAAAAAGGAACACTGACTGAAAGCCCCCCCCCCTTCCGGCCCGCTAAGGACCCGAAGTTGCCACGAAGCTCGTGGGAAAAACCGAAGCTAGTATATACCGTACATGTATGTGTGAGCGTGTGTGTGTGTGTGTGCGTGTGGTTTGGATACCAAGGACCTGGGCACCGATTTGGCCGAAGTTGAAGCGTTGCGTTGACGCTGGCCGAGGGCGCTGCTACCGCCGCTGCTGTCGCCGCCGCTGCCACTGCCACTGCCGACGATGTAAAATTTTATTACCCCAAACGCATCGAGCAGTCGGGTTTTGGACGTCCGGACTTCACCGCCGCCTCGCTGCGACGCCAGAAACTTTTCATCCGACTTTTTCAGTATTTTGTACTGATTCTGCTACAACAACCCAGAGCTACACATAGCTACCCAGAGAAGACAGCCCATAAGCCGTTCTTTTTTTTACAACCCAAAAAAACAACAACAAACAAACAAGAAACTTGGAGAATCGCAAAAAGTGAGACACAAATAAAAGTTTTCGCGGAAAAACTAAAAAAAAAAAACTTTCTAAGGTCGCGATTGTTGTGCCGGCTCTAAACAATAAAAGTGCAACATGCAACATGCTATGTGCAACATTGCAAACAACACGAATCCAACAATAATATTTTAAAAAAGAAAGCTAATAGTGCGCGTTTCAAATATCAAGTATACGCCACATAGGCCAACCCTAAAAAAAAAAACTAGAAACTGCAACCTGCAACTAGCAACTTGCAACACTCTTTTGAAGACAACGCCGTCGTTAATATTTTAAAATAAAAAAAACGTGAGTGGCTAACAAAAAAAAAGTTAATTGTTGTTGATTTTTTTTTTTTGTTTCTATTTAGATTGTTATTGTTTTTGTTTTTTTGTCGTGCTGTTTTGTATTGGTGATCTCCGCAAAACGGTAAACATATATACATGTATATACATATAGATGCACATGCCAGTGTGTGTGTTTAATGAGTGTGTGTGTGTGTGTGTGTGATAGCAACTTGCAACCTGCAACCAGCAACCTGCAACATCAAAACCCGAAATCCGAAAAAAAATTAATGGCATCTCAGCCACCAAAAAAAAGTGGCAAGTGTTTTAAAAATAAAAATTAAAAAAAATATATATATCAAAACGCTAAACCTTGAAACAAAATCGAAACTAAAGAATACAGATATTCAGCAAATAGGTAAAGTTCACATATAAGTTTTAGATTCTTCTTTATAATCACTACCACTAGTTCCTCAAATTTAAGTCTCTCTTTAATCTTGAAATCTTAAAACAAAATTAATAAAAAAAAAAAAAAAGACCCCCAAAATTTCAGTATTTGTATATATCCACTGCTGATCCTTCTCACCCAGACCCGACCCCTGCAAAAACCAAACAAACAAAAAAAAAATATATATATATATATTTATAAACAAAAACCCAACTTGCAACAAGAGCTACTGAAAAAAAAAAAACAAAAAACAAGAACTAAACTATAAAAAAAATATACCATATTTGTTTATACAGATAAATCGAATATAATTGAAATTACAAAAAAATATTAACAACAAACTAGAGGAATTAAAAAAAATATCAATGTACAAGTATAAGAAATTCAATGCAACAAGAATTAATCACATTGAGAATTTAATAAACAAAAAAATTATTGACAAATCGAGAAAATCGAGAGTCGATATCCATTATATACATTCTAGATCAGAGGTACTATATATATTAGAGGGTTCTATATGCTTAGGGTCCTTTAAACAAGCTTACAATTTTTCAAAGCCTACTTTTAGGCGTAGGGTTTAGTGATTTCAAAACTCCAATTGTAGGAATTGCAGAAACAAAACTCCAAAAACAAAACTTCATTAAGTTGTCTTTATTGAGGTAATAAACTATATATTTTTATGAGGACATTTTTATGAGGATCTAGGTGAGAAAACTTCTACCTTTTATATGACTTCCATGGTGCACTAGTTTCGATTTTGTTTAGTCTGGTTTCTCAAAGATATAGGTCCCTGAACTCTCGCTTTGTAGTTTTGGATTTCGGGAAATAGGTTCTTCTGATTTTTAACTTTTTTTTTTTTATTTTAGTTTTTTTTTAGTAGAATTGGACTATTTGTGTCGTCAGACATTGGATGGATGATTTTTAGTTTCAAAACAAAATTTCTTCATTGTACAGCACGCTGGCTTTGAAACAAAATAACAAGAGTAGAGAGTAAAGCCATGGCGCTATCGAAGCGTCCCCTCACCAAGGACACCCCCCTGGTGGAGAGCAACATGAACACCAATAATTCCGGTAGTAATACCCATGGCGGCGGTACTGGCACCTCTGATCACGAGACATCCATCAAGCGACGCAAGCGTTGCAGTCGCGACGAAGAATCTAACAATAATAACAACAACAACAACAATAATAATATGAATAATAACAACAACAATACCAACAGCAATAATAATAATTTACCGCAAAAGAAGAGGAAACAGGGTCATATAACCGATAGTCCCGATAGCCCCATGTCGGGGGGACTGCTGCCGAATCCCAATGCCCAGGCGGATCAGGACGATGAGACCCTGATACGGGAAACGCAGGCGGCCCTGAAGAGCCTGTCGGGCAGCTGGCCGGACTCGGGTCGCGGGAATCTGTACAGATTGCAGGAGCAGGACGAGAATCCGCCTCCCTTCCAGAACCTGTTCGAGGAGAAGCAAAAGTACGAACTCAACTCGGCCAGCACAAGTCCCAACTTTTCCCGGTTCCACCGACAGAAGGAGAACGATCAGGCCCGTCTCAATGCCAGTGTCGGTCTGGAGCGGAATCGCAAGCCAGTCGCCGGAATCGCTGCCTCTGGCCTCAGTCTCAGTCCCGAGGAGCAGGACCTCGAGGACTCCTCCATATCCAGCGGAGGCTACGCCCAGGCGGCCTCTGCCTTCAAGCCTCCCATTGATATTATCAAGAGGAACTATTATTACTCTGCTGCGGCGGAATCTGCCGCCGGATTGGCTTACTACGGCTATGCAGCAGCTGCAGCGGCAAGTCAGCAACAACAACAACAACAGCAGCATCAGCATCAGCAGCAACAACAACAGCACCAGCAACAAATGCAACAGCAACAACAACAGCTGGCCAGTCTTGAGGCCACGCCCCGCAATACCGCCTTCGATATTGCCAGTCAGCTGGGCGAGAAGCCACGTACACCCGGAAAAGAACCCCTCGCCGATGGCAAGCAGTATACCATATTGCAACCGGCGGGTGTGGGCAGTCGGGCGGCATCCGTAATGCAGGACATTGCCTCCAGGGAGGGCGGTGTTGTGGGCGTGCCCCTTGTATCAACGCCACCCACAACGGCGGCCAACAGTCCGGCGGGGCCACCCACAACTCCGGTACCGGCACCGGCGCCCAGTTATTCGCCCGGCAGCCAAAATCGTGGTAAGTTTCACCAAAAAAACAAAAAACCTAAAAAATAAAATAAAAACAAGAGAGAGTGATTTTTTCCCCAAATGACTGTGAGTTGGTGTGTTAAAAAATAAAAAATAAAAAAAAAAAACTTAAAAACAGGCTGTGATTTACTGCGATTTGCTATAAAAATAATTAAAAAGCTATAAAAACAAGACTAGTCACGCACTGTACTTGAAACAGTGTTGTAAACATGTCTTATGTCAGTGTTGTAAGCTGGCTTTTATAAAAACAGTGCTGCAAAGCACAAATCAAAGTACAGATCACAGTAAGTCCTGCAAGAAAATAAAACAAAGACAAGTGTTGTGTAACGTTGTGTGGTTCGGTTTTTGGTTTCCGGTTACCGATATCCGTTTCCGTTTCCGGTTGCAGTACGATCGGCTGATGTGCGAGACTTCTTGTTGCATTGAGTTTACCACTTCAATTGGCAAAATCAGAACAGAACAAAGCCCTCTAACCCTTGACCCTCTATACCCCCCACCCTCTATATATGTTTAGCCCCCCCTGAGACAGAGACAGAGTGCATTTGTTGATCTACTGTATGAATGAGACAGAAAATGCCGACCAAACAGTGAGACAGCAAAGAGAGAGAGACAGTAAGACTGTCTTTTGAAGCAAAAAAAAAAACCTCGCATTTCCTTTAAAATAAAATCCTTTTCAGCAGCCAAAAAGACATTAAGCGATTTTGTCGTTTATGAAAATGGAATCGGAATGGGGGAAAGGGGGGTGGCAACAACTAATGGCTTGTAAACCCTTTATGCCACACAGCAGTAGCAACAGCAGCAGGAGCCCCCATCCTCGAGGCCAGACACAACACTCACTCACAACATAGACATCTTATGGTTGAGTGCCTGAGACACTGCCTTTTACTAATTTTCCTCCACTAGAATGGTTGGATGGTTGGCTTGATGGTTGGGGGCATGTGGCATGATTAGATATAAAGCATTATGAGCACGTTTTCCTTCGAAAAACCACTTTTGCATATTTATTTTGTCATTATGTTTTGGCATTAATATGCTGTGTGGTATATGTGTGTGCTTGTGTTGTGTGGCTTTTGGTATTCATATAATTTGAATGACTTTTTAAATAGTTGACACACACACACACACACAAACATACAGAAGGATATAACCCGCCACAGGATCTCCCTAAAAACTCAAGTGTGTGTGTGTGTGTGGCATAATAAGTCATTAGCGTGCCTCGTCCTTGTTATTGTTATTATTTTAGCTAATGTGGCTTATTAGGCTTAGTCCTTAGTCCTTAACCCTTGTGTGCTTCAACTCTACTATAGTTCTATGTACACATCCTTTATTTTTTGTTTTTTTTTTTGCATTATTTTAATTAAATTCTAATTAGAGACATACTCCTGGAAACTCTGCTACTGCAGCTTGACATTTCGCCCGGCCACGTAATAGACAGGAAACACACGAGGCGAAATATTTCGAAAAATATTTCATTAACCAACCCCCCTTAACCCTCTTCTTTGGGGGGGAATTTTCTCCAACATATATCACACACGAGTAAGTGAGTAGGGGGGGCGGGGGGAGTCTATCTCTATCTTTCGAGGAGTAGAGCTTAGAAAATGGCCAAGTTTTTCCACTGGGTCTGGTTTTTGGTTTGATTTTTGAAGCTGTCTGACAGAAAAGCCCTTCTTCTTCTACCCGCCCCTGGCTGACATGTGTGTTCATATTCGTGCGTGTCTGTGCGTGTGTATGTGTGTGTGCTTTTTAAAGTAAATAATGCAAAGCTGTTTTCCATCAAATTTTAATTAATTATTTAGGGTAAAAGAAATTCCATTTGCTGGCGTACTTTCTTTTTTTTTTTTTGATTTTGTGATTTTTTGACAAGGGCCTGAGGGAGGGGGTAGGGATACGTCAAGTTGTCTCTTGCCATATAATTAATTAGAAAATATTCACGCACTTACTCACTCCCACTGTCTCCCCACGCTGTGTAGCGTCTCGCTCACTCTTCGTTGAATTTTACTTTTACTGTTAATTGGTTAATTGTAGATGGCGCCAAATGCCCCACACCACACTGCACGGGCCAAGGACATGTCACTGGATTGTATTCGCACCATCGCAGGTACCCCAAAAAAAAAAACAAAAAAAATAACAATCGAATAAGATCCATTAAAGTCCAGTTATCGAGTCTCTTGTCTCTTTTACTCCATCTCACGCTCTCTCTCTCTCTCTCTATAACAATACATGCATTTCGATGACAGTTTATCGGGTTGTCCGAAGCGCGATAAAGTCACCACAGAATGTAAGTTGCCCCCCAAAAAATGACATTCCGCATGCCCCATGTATGCATCGTAGTCGATCTATCTCTGTCTGCCACTCTACGGCTGTCTCTCTCTATCCACTCCTATCTCAGACTGTCAATCTTCTGTCTCATTTCCTTTCTGTGATGTGTGTGTGAATGTTTGTGGCAAACTTTCAACAGACTGTCAGTTCTTTCTCTTTTTTAGTTATATTTTTTAATTATTTATTTTCTAACTGCACATTTAATAGTTATAGATCATAGTTATAGTAGATTTTAGGAAAAACAAGACAGATAGACTACTCTTTCCACTAACTGCATGATCAAACATGAACCTAGAAACAAGTTCGATCTTGTTTAATCCTGTCTTACCAAGTAGAAACTGGTGTGTGATAGAGAACTCTTCTTCCTGTCTCTGTCTCTCTCTCTCTCTCTTGCTCTCTTACTCTCTCTCTCTCTTCTTCACTCTGTCTCTCTCAGTGTCTCTGTCTCATGACTGTGGAATGCCTTGTTGTTGTAGTCGTGAGAACCTATCGCTGAAAGTCGTTAATCGATAATCGTTAATCGCTCGTTTCACATCCCTTTTGCCTTCGATAACACTTCGATTTGCAGTGCTGGCTTTGCACGAGCAGATCCTGAAATGCCCCACGCCGGGCTGCAACGGTCGTGGCCACGTGCAGCCGCACCGCAGCGTGCACCGTAGCCTCTCCGGCTGTCCGCGTGCCGTAAGGCGTTCCGGCGGAAGACTGCGTAGCGTCGTAACCGTGAACCACACAGGTGAACCACCGAACCACTTAACCACTCAATCAATCAATCAATCAATCATTCAATTGTACTATGAAAACTCTTATAATTATGATATACTGTGTGAATGTTACTTGAAGACAGCTCTTCTAATTCTTCTCAATATCATTTCTTCTTCTCTTTTACACAATCATTCTTCTGTTCTGCCTCACTCTCTCTCTATCTCCCTCACACACACACTCTTTCTTCTGTGTGTCATGTCTCGCTCTTTCTTCTATCTTTACCTTCTATCTTTGCCCAACTAGCCGATCTGGAGAACAAGCATGACAAGGAGCTCCATCCGCTGGACAAACTCAAGCTGGCCTCCAGTCATTATCTCAACAACAACAACAACAATTGCATCAACAACAACAACAATAGCACCTCCAGTAGTGCTGCCAGTGGCGGGAGCCACAAACTGAACTCTGCCCCGACAACGACAATGCCGATTATTAAGTCGGAATACAGTCCCGTTGCCAGCATCAAGTCGGAGTACAACAAAAGTCCCATGCACTCGTATCTTTCCAGTGGCGACACGGCCGCCACCACGCCCACCGCACCCTCTGCCTCGGTGGCCGGTGGCGGGGGTGGCGCCTCCGGTCGAGGCTCCTCCGGCTCGGCCAACGGCGCCGCTTCGGTGTCAGCCGCCTCGGCCGGTCCCGAGAATAATCTGCACGCCCCACATCTCAGTCGATTCGTGGGTCTCCAGAGTCCACCCGAATCCCATCTCAATCCACATCTTGCCAACCACCAGCAGCAGCAGCAACAGCAACAACAACAACAGCAGCAACACACGCTGCACCAGCAACGCGGTCCGTTCATAGAGGGTAACGATGTGCCCGATCCGACGGCCAGTTACCACTCGGAGCACCAGCAGCAGCAGCAGGCGGACGAGCGGCAGCAGTACGAGCAGATGCGCTACGCCCAGAGCCACGAGCTGATGGCGCCCAACGGTGTTACCGGCGTGGCCGGAGAACTGTCACCGGGCACGGCGAGAAGTGCCTACGAGGCGCATCCCGGCCATCCGGGTCACCCGGGCCATCCAGGACATCCCGGCCACCCGCATCCCATACCCAGTTCCCCGGCCTTTGCCGTGGATGCGGTCACGGCGGTGGGTTACGATCCCAGCGGCGTCTGCTGTCCCAGCAACGGACAGAGACCGACGGCGGCCACAGCCGGAGGACCCGGCGCGGGAGCGGGCACCGGAGCCAGTTCGGTGAGTGCCTCGGCAGCGGCGGCGGCCTACCACTACCTGCCACAGACCACTGCCGATGCGGAGATGCAGGTGCAGCAGCAGAAGTATCTGCAGGAGCAGCAACTGATGCTGGCCAAGGCCGAGCACGAGGAGCAGCTGGCCAACGGAGGACAGCCCCTGTACCCGCGGCCGATGTATCACTATGACCCCACTATGGGTCCCCTGCCGCCGGGCTTCTCGGCCATCAACCTGTCCGTAAAAATGGCCGCCGCCCAGGCAGCCGCTGCTGCAGCAGCCTACCAAAACCAGCAACAACAACAACAGCAGCAGCAACAACAACAACAACAGCAGCAACATCATCAGCAACAACAACAGCATGGAAAGCAAAGCACCTCACCGGCACCGCCGAACGTTGGGGGTGTGCCGGCGGTGGATCTGAGTGGATCCACATCGGTCACCAGCAGCAGTCCGCATCATGGTTTCAACTCGCCAGCCTCCCACAACCAGTACACCGCCCAGCGGATGGGGAACGGCAGCCCGCAGCCGGGCGCCAGTCCGAACATCGCCAGTCCCCAGGTGCCCAGTCCCCAGGGACAGACGCTGGATCTCAGCGTTACCAGACTGCCACACAGGTGAGGCTGCCAACTGGGCGTTAACTGACAAACACACACTCTCATTTAAGATATATATATTTTTTTAAAATTTAAAGAATTATTTTAAGTCAGTTTAAAAAATAAAGTGTGGAAAGTGGGTGTTTCTTTAGGGAGAAGTTGTATGAGAAACGGACACACGGACATGCGGACAGGGAACTAGAACTAAAATATGTTTGTATGTGTATATAGTGGATATAGACTCCCGATCTGAGAATCTTTACAAAATAGAACCAAGAGACAAGCTACTTACGGACAGGCGGACAGACGGACAGCCTAACGGACAGGTCCTTCTTCATTTTAAAAATTAGTTTTGAGGCTTAAATATTATTTTTCAACAAAACAAACGACAAAAAAACAAATTAAATAATTAATATTGAAGTTATTTAAATTTTTTAACTAAATTTAAATATTTTTTCTCTATTCCGTAGTATTATTACCAGTCCCCAGTACGGTGCGGATGGTTTAGTGGTTGGCGTCGGTGTCGGTCACGCCCAGGGCTTTGGAAGTGGAGCGACCGGACCTCTGGGACCTGGTAACGGTGGTCCGCCGCGTTCGCCCCAAATGGAGCCAGTGGACTTCAGTGGACCGCCCCGACCCCTGGGCTTCGGTCTGGTGGGTCACATAAGCGGACCCCGGCCATATAGCCGGGAATCGACGCCGGATAGCGGTGGTTCGCACTACATCGAGACTTACAGGGATCCTAGTGGTAAGTCACCTGAAACCCATCGATGATTATAGTCTTTACTTATAATGGTATTTAATATTTTATTAATTTTCTTAATTTTAATTTGATTTCTTTACAGGCTACTCCCCGCATCCTGGGTATGGCATGGTGGTGCAGTCGGACTACCCACCCGCTGGCTATCACGGCTATGGACCAGCCGCCTATCAATGCAGCAATCCCTATGCCACGGCCGTCGGTCCTGGTGGCTATCCCACGCCCGTTTCCGGCGGCTACTCCCCCAGCCCCGCCACCTGCTACTCGATGCCACCGCCACAGCACATACCGCAGCACGACAAGACCAAGGATGGGTAAGTTCCACCAAGATATATCTAATTTTACAAAAAAATATCTTTTAAAGGTAACTGATGGTGTGATTATTGTCTTAAATCCATCTTTGTCTTGGGGAGGTGTCTGCTCTGTCCGCGTGTCCGTGTGTCCGCTAACACAGATGCTCATATCTCAGAAACCATAAGAATTATAGGTATCAAGGTCTTATAGGTCTCTTTATATTAATTAATTCTTCAAAAGTAGCTAAAAAATATGTTAGAAGCCAGCTTTAAATACTTTCAAACTTCATAATCTGTCCGCGTGTCCGTGTGTCCGCTAACATTAATGCTTATATTTCAAAAACCATAAGAGTTATAGGTTTTAAGTAACTTTTAACTTAATAAATTATACAAAAGTATTTTAAAGTATGTCGCAAACCTCCTTTAAACACTTTCTAACCTGTCCTAACCTGCTTTCTAACCTGCAAAGAGCAGACCTGGACGTGTCCGCCTGTCCGTTAATTAAAGTCTTCATATCTCAGAGACCCTAAGAGTTAAACCTCTCATTTTTTGTACATGGGCTTTATTCTTCAAAATAGTTTAAAATACAAGTCCCTTTCCACCTTTAAACACTTTCCCATTTTCCAACCCACCATATGACTAGTTTTTACTTAAAAAAAAAAATCAAAGCCTGGGCCTAAGCTGGCGAGTGTCCTTAGCCTGGCCAGGGTCGAGAGACTTTAATATTTATGATTACGGCTATGAGTGGACGCAGAGCGGTCATAAAACCAGCCCCAAAGCCACTCAACCACCCGGCATTAGCACCACACACCACACACACTACCTACACACATCATCCATCTCTGAGGCTTTGGGCCTTTGGATTAAATGAAACTTTAAAACCGAAAGTTTCAAGTCCGAAGAAGTCTCTAGGCCGGTACTCTTATCTGGCCAAGACCACTTGGCGAACAGGACTAATCCTGGGGAATCCTTTTGCAGATTGACGGGCTGTTCGCGTTCGGACCGCAACCATTTGCAGTCGCACTCGCAGGAACTGAAGTGCCCCACGCCCGGATGCGATGGCTCCGGCCACGTGACCGGCAACTACTCCTCGCACCGCAGCCTCTCCGGCTGTCCCAGGGCCAACAAGCCCAAGAGCAAGCCCCGCGATGGCCAGGACTCGGAGCCGTTGCGCTGCCCGATACCAGGATGCGATGGCTCCGGCCACTCCACCGGCAAGTTCCTTTCCCACAGAAGGTGAGTGTCAGGCAAACTAAGGGCTTAAGTTTTAAGAACCAATCTAAGAAATATCCTTATCCTTTCCAGTGCTTCGGGCTGCCCGATTGCCAATCGCAACAAAATGCGAGTCCTGGAAGCCGGCGGCACTGTGGAGCAACACAAGGCCGCTGTGGCAGCCGCCACGGCCATGAAATTCGATGGTAGGTTGACGAAACCCTCTCTCTCTCTCCGAAAAAGGACCCTAAAGGACTCTAAAATATTTTTAATTCTTTAAAAATTATAGCCTGCACTACGGTGGGTAGCCAAGGCATCAAGAAACCAAAGTTCGACGAGGTCACAATGGTCTATCCCAAGGGCTATACAGGTGAGTCCAAGTCTATATTTTTTGTAAATCCCAGTCAGGATTGTATTTCTATATCCATATCTCTATCGCGCTGTCTCTATCTATCTCTCATTTTCTGTTATGAACTGGGCATAACCCCTCCTATATATTTTATAGAAAATAGAAAGGGGTTGGGGCACAAAGTGTCCATTTTTTGCAACAAAGAAGAAAAATATTTAAAATCAAAAAAATAATTAAATATTATTATGGTTTTCCTTAAACCAAAGCCCGAAATCATTTCTTCATCTTTGATTCGAACCTTAAAAAATGATGTAAAATTTTTTGGAAAAATTTCTTAAAAATTCTATTCTTCTTCTATGTTGTTGCTTAAAAATTTTCGGTTGGAATTTTGTGTGCGTGTGCTAAAGTCTAAAAAAAAAAGTCTTAAAAAAAAAACTTAAACAGAAAGTCAAACAATAGACAAAAATATTCAACAAGAAGAACCTTTATTTTTGGTTTTGGTTTCGGAAAAATCCAACACAAAAAAAAATAGATGAAAATTCAAAAAAATTAAGTCGAAAATGTTAAAAATTTTTGCGTTCAATTTCCAAAAATTGAAGACGGAGCCGGAGCTTTAGGGAGAAACCCCTTCTACTTCCACCAACACACAACCCCAACCCCAAAACCAATCCAAAATCCTCAATAAACCCGGTACATAACAAGAACTAAACAAGAATGAACATGAAAGAACACGCACAAATGCGCAGGACATTTGTGGGTGTGTCTACTTACACAAGAGATATAAAGTAAAGAAATTTATAAACAATTCAATTCCTAGTTTTAATTCTAATTTAATTCTGTGTTCCTTCTTTTCCGTTTCGTTTCATGTCTGTGTTTTTGTTGGCGTTTTCTTATAGATTACGCAACGTTTTGTATCGGTGCCGAGTATCTACTGTAAATAGAAAACGAAACCACTGAATCGCAGTCAAAACAGTCCGAATCGAAACCACTGAAACCACAACCAGCAACCAAAAATAAATGAAATGCAAAAAAAAACAAAATACCAAAAATGATAAATCGAAACTAAAAATGGTGCAGCAGAACCCAAATACCAAAATACAGAACCCAAAAAAAAAAAATATTTATATAGATATAAATAAAAACAAAAATATCGAATAAATGGCAGAAAATACCAAAAAAATAACAGACCACAAATTGTCATACAACTCACACAAATCAGAGATACCAAATATACAAAATGTACATACAGTAAAAAAAAATACCAGAGAGAGTCTGTTGTGTCGATCAAGGTAAGCCCCCGAAGATAAGTGATTTAAGAAAAATAAATACACTAAGCCACTGTCGAAAAATATACAAAACTCACTCACAATATACACAATAAACTATATTATGCTTTCGTGTTTCAAATACAGCATTGGTCACACTGTGGTTTACTTTTGTCCAAAATTGTTCTGTGATTTGATTTTTTGTGTTTAAATACTTTGGTAACACTGTAATCGGTCTTATTTCAGTTAGTTTTAGTTTTACTTTACAATCATTGCTTAAATCATTTTATTATAAGTTTCTTTTTATTTCTAAAGTTTGTTGCAAGCATTAACCTGGTCACACTCATTACAAAACACAACTTAAACACAGCCACACTAGTGCCAATTGAGTTGCTAGCACACGCGCACATGACAACCCGCGAAATGATCAGATTTGAATCAAGTTTGAATCGAAGAGACAAACAGCAGTGTAGTGTATACAAAGTCTATGTCCTTTCGAAGGATCAAAACCCCGACTAAATGGCAACCGTAATTGTGATTCGCAGGCGGCAGCGGACTGGACATCGTGATGGGCGGCGGCGTGGGTCTGGGCCTCGGTCTCGGGGTCACCAGCAGTAGCAGCAGCAACAGCAGCTCCACCAACAACACCACCACCGGCCCCGAAAAGAGTGTGACCGGGAGTGCCGCAGGCGGTGGTGTTACCTCCGCCCCGGTCGGCGCCACTGGCAGCGATGACCTGAACACCTTGGAGGCCGAGATCTCCGAGCTGCAGCGGGAGAACGCCCGCGTGGAGTCACAGATGATGCGTCTGAAGTCCGACATCAACGCCATGGAATCGCAGCTGAGCACCAGCGATCGGGTACGTAGGCTCAGGTTCGTTGACGCAAACAACAAATTATGAGAACAACTTATATTACTACCCTACTAGACTAAGTGCACTAACTTCCCAGACGATGGTCACACTAAAAAAAAAAGTTTTGCACCTCCATCACCCCCCCACTTCCCTCTAAACAAAAAAAATATACCAAAGTTGAGGCTGAAAAACTTTCAACTCGAAACGAGACTTTTAGTGGAGTTCTTTTGTCCGTGTTTTCATGTCAGAGCCACTGTCGTCACCTGAGTTCCGAGTTCCGAGTCCCGAGTCTTGAGTCTTGAGTCCCGACTTGCCACTTTTCAAGGACGTCTCTAAAACTCGGCGGGCAAAACGGCAACAAAATAAAAAGAAATCGAAAACAATGAACAACAAGTGAAACACAAGGTACTATATATACTATAAAGTATAACCCAACTGAAATAAACTTGGGCCGAAACTTTGATTCGAAACTGGGCGCGAAAAGTTTTATCAGCCAAGGGAGACATCATCGAAGGATCAAGGGGTTTTTTCTGCTCTATCATTGTATTTCCCTCATAAAATAAAGGGGGGTTTCAAGGGGAAATTTTATTAAAGGAGAACTAAGTGAAGGTTAGCTTTAATGATTCCATAATTGTGGGAAGTTTTTGGTTTACAAGAAATGGGGCTTTTTTTGAAAATATAGGTTAGGATTTAGGTTTTAAGAAAATACTGGATATTATACTAAAGTAGAGTATAACTAGACTATAGAGACTATACTATACTAGACTATACGCTACTAATACTAGACTAGATATACTAGCTAGTGTTAGATATAGTATTATATAGACTACTAGAGGATACTATACTATACTATCTTGGTTTTAGGTTAGGTTAGAGCATATTTTAGGTTGTAGAGCAGAGTTGTAGTGTTGTAAAGGGGTATAAAATGCTTAAATCCTATATAAATATAGGCAATGGATTTATAAAGAGAAAACTTTCTTGAACATCAAATAATATATTAGGAAATATATTTTATGATATGTTTTAAAGATTATAGATCCTTTTAAAAATCAAAGCAATAACAAGAAAACTCTAAGCAGCTTTATAAAAATTAGCCAACAATTTTACTCTCAGTGTAAATAGTGTTGAAAAGCCAAAGGTCCTGTGTGGAAAACCACCCGAAATGCAGTTTGCAACCCGCATTCGCCAGTGAAGGCAGCCAATCGGTGACGTTGCATCCTTGCTGCATCGGGCAGCGAATCAGAAGGAGGCAGGACACCCCTAAGCCCACTCACACACGCATGACCCTAGAGTGTGAGTGCGTGTGTGTGTGTGTGTGTGTGGGCTGGTCATGCGCAGGCAAAAGCAAACGAGGCGCCAACAAATCGCAGGACTCCATTCGATTTGCTCCTAAAACTCGACAAAAGAAAAACAAACGTATGGGGGAGTGTGAGGAATGTGGGGTGTGGGGGGGCAGGGGCAGGATACAAGGGGGAAAAAAAAGAACTGTTGGGCGCCAACTGTGCTACAGCGACGTCGACAGCGGCAGCGCAGTCGGCAGCCCGAGGCCCCAAAGCCCCAAAACTCCGAAAAGCAGTAGGACACAAACGAAAAAAAAACCGAACCACCCAGCCTCTCTCACTCGCTTGCTCTCTCTCTTCGACCGTGGTCTCCACCTATAGCTTACCCCCTCTGGCGCCCATAGGCCGTCCCCCTCTGGCGCTTTGTGTCGGCCTCGGTGTGTCTGTTCCGTTCGCTCTCATTGTGTGGTGACCCCTTCGTGCGAGTTCGTTCATGATTCGTCTCTGTGCTTTGGTCCTTTTTTCTTCCTCCTTTCTTTCACCTTCCCCATACCTCTATTTTTTTTTCCTTCTGTTGGCGTGTTCTTATTGGAATTTCAATACACATATGTATGTGCTTGTGAGGGGAGGGGGGTCATGTGTAGAAAAAGAAAAAAATAAACACCATCCCCCTTTTGTAAATTGAATTCCAATTCGTAGACCATTGTCTGGGTTTTTTTTTTTTTTTTGATTCTGATAACTTTACTAACGAACTGGTAACCCCCCCTATTTGATTTTAGGAGGCTTCTCCACTGAGTGCCCATCAGCAGCAACAACAACAACAGCAACAACAACAACAACAGAGAACTATGACCTCGCCTAGCGGTCAGTCGCCATTCGCCAGTGTTAGTTCCACTAGCGGTGGTGCTGCCACAAATAACGGTAATCCCAACAATAATGCCAACGATCTCGGTCACTCGATCAGTAATCTTGCCCCAAGCTCCACCGGCAATAACAACAACAACAATAGCAATAACAATAACAACAACAATACCGATCATAATGGCACAAATCCTGCTAACAGTAATCTGAATAATTACTACGAGAGCTTGAGGAATAATGTGATTACATTGCTGGAGCATGTGCGTCTGCCGCCGCCACCCCCACCCCCGGCCGGATCATCCTCCACGGCACCGGGAGCGCCACCACCGCCAACAGCCACATCGGTGTCGGCGGCCAGCAGCTCGACTGGCGGTCTGGAGGGATGCACCAGTCAGCTGGGCGGTGTGGTCACTGGCGTGGCGGAGCATGCGGCCGCCTACTCCACCCTGCTGCCACCGCCTCCACCCCCGACCTCGGTTGGCCAGCAAGGCGGAGGCGGGGGCAATGGCAATATGTATGTGGGCAACCATCAGACGGGACAGCCCGTACCGCCGGTGCCCACCCATCATCATCATCATCCGTATACCGTTCATCATCCGGTCAGCTACGGGCATCCGCACACCCATCCGCACGCCCATCCGCACGCTCATCCGCATCCGCACGAGCACTTCGACTCGTACATCTCGAAGCTGCAGTCGCTGTGCGTGCCGCCCGACGTCTATGCCCTGCCCGGCGATGATGCGGAGAGGCCAGTCTACAACTCGGTGAAGCCGAGCATGCACCAGGACTACGGCAAGCTAATGCCCACACCCATCTAGAGAGAGGGAGGCTCCCATCCGTACCACCACCACCACCCACCCGTCCATGGGCTCGAAACAAAAAAGGAATAAGGATGTAAATAGTAAAAAAAATTAAAATATTAAAAAAAATAATTCTTGATAAATCGGGTGGGTTAATCCATATATAGTATATATATATAAATCATAGATGATAAAAAAAATAGAAGATAATAGAAAAAAAGAAAACCAGAAGCATCTGAAGTTAGTTTCTAGACCTTAGAGCTGTTCCACATCCTAGATCCTAGACGCTTTCGTCGTGTTGATAGCCACTGTATAAAAACTATAAAAAAAAAAAATACACTGAGAGAAAAACAAAAAACAAAAAGTATAAATGTGTAATTGGTTTAAAAAATGCAATTTTTTTTTTGTCTGTATCAAATACTACAACTAGAAATTAATGAAATACGAATATGAAAAAAAAACCACACATATATATATATATACGTTTAAATGTAGGGCATTTGTTTGGTGTTAATGTCTGGTCAATTTTTTGCATAAAAATCGGAGAAAACTACTTAAATATATATGTAATCCCCAAAGCTCCCCCAAAAAGCTAAGGTTAGTTTAGTGGCAAAGTCAAAGAACACCAAACAAAAAACAAAAAACAAAAAATATATATAATACATAAAATACATGAAAATATAATCAATATTAAAATTAGTAGATGTAATCGTAAATAATTTTTTTTGTTTTTTTTTTTAAATGTGTAACTGTAATACTAGAATGGAAATTTAGTAATATCAGATGAGAATATCGGAAACTAAAACTGGTAAGGGTTAAAAGACATATACTATACTATATGTAGGTAAACTCGATAGTAAACTCGAAGCAGACACACACAGACCCTTGTATACCCTTACGCGTATCTCAGCGTATATCAGCATGTGTGTGTGTGTAGGATCGTAAGTTTTAATGTTAACCCTTAATGAGATCGGGAAAAGAGGCATTAACCATAATACCAGATACAAATTGAAACATAGATTAGACTTCAGTGCAATATAAATTCAAAAAAAAATTAAAATTAAAATAAAATTGTGTAAGAATAAGTAAACCAAAAATAAAACAAAAAAAAGAAAGTAGTTGAACATAAAGTCACCGTTTTTTTTTTGTATCATCATACGTCTAATCTTAAACTTAATTATAACTCAATAAAGTATGGGAGGGTGAGAAATCCCTCTATGAAGGGGCATCCAAGAACATAAAAAAAAAAACACACACACACACACAACCGCAAGGTAATTTAGACGAATTTTAAAAAAATAAAATCCAAAAAAGTTTAAAACAAAAGCAAAAACGATATAAAAATTAATAGCAGGCTTAAAAACAAACATCATTGTATTTAACAAAATGAATGGAATGACTTACGATGATTAATATAATTACATTAAACTAAACATAAATCTAAAATAATAAATATATATATATATATATATATAATATAATATAATATAATATAATATAATATAATATTGTATTGTATGACAAGAAAAAAATTCTGTAATTTACAAGCGAAAAATATTTTATGTGATCATTGTCTTTTTTTTTAATATTACAAGAAATAAATAATTCGAATACCAAATAAAGGATATACACAATAATTTTTTGGATGTTTTTTATTGAAAATTTAGAGATTTTAAAACGCCTAAAGTGGTGCCTAAAAGTAGGCAATGAAAACGAAAAACGACTGGTTTCAAATGTACTTTTATTTAGGGAAGACTTACTGATAGAATTATTAAGGTTTTTTTACTTATTACGGTAGTATTTCTATAGATATTAAAACCTTAAACATTGCATAATTTTATTAATATTTTAGGCGTTTTCAAAACTCCTTTTTTGGGAAGATTTACTGTTTGAAATCACAAGATAATGATAATACTTACTAATTATGGTAGTATTTCTATAGATATTAAAATATCAAACATTTTATAATTGTATTAATATTTTAGGCGTTTTCAAATCTCCTTTTATTTTGGGCAGAATTACTGTTACAATTCTTAAGATTTTCTTACTAGTTATGGTAGCATTTCTATAGCTATTAAAACCTTAAACATTGCACGTTATAATAATATTTTAGGAGTTTTTAAATCTCCTCTTTTTGGGAAGACTAAATTCTTCATTGTTTCCTTTCCAATTTGAAGTCACAAACCTCTGGATTATCTAGAGTCATCCTTGCATTAGCATAAATCAGTGGTAAATGGTAAATTGAGTGAAAAATGCCCAACGATTTCTTGGCAACGTTTTTAATTTCAATTAGCCCTCTGGACGCTCCTAGCTGGACGGACGGATCAAACCAAAACGATGAAGGACCTTGGTCAAGAACGGCCCCTGGTGAGGATTGCAATGTTCTCTGGTTTGCTGCCACTTGATTTATGTGGCTTCATTAGACATTCCGCACATTTTTGGCGAGTGGGGGGGGTAGGGTCTTGGATGGTGGATCCCGCAGTGAAATGGGCTAAGTGATTGCCAAAAACTAAAAGCGAACACGGCCAAAAACACAATTAGAACCAAAACCAAAAACGAACTTCAATGAGGGATTTTTTGTGTTTAGTGTTTGTTATAGAAATTTTTTTTTAAATACTCTTCAAGAGGGTATATCTATATTACTATAGGGTATATATATCTAAGTTTTGGCTCGTTATAAGCTTGTCTCTCTCTAAGATTTTAAGAATCTCTTCGCTAAGATTTTAGTTTTTAAGATAGAGACTTTAATATTAGCTTGTAAATTTCTTGGTTTTGTAGGGATTATAATAATTAAAGTTACCCGGATTTTTGGACTATAATATATAGCTGATATATAGTTTAAAAATCGAAAAAGTCTTTACTTCGTTCCTTTATTTTTTTTGAAAAAATTTTCTGAAAATCCCTTGTTTAAGTGATGGTTTTGTGTAAGAAACTCCTTTAAGGATATTTCTATATAAAAAAGAGTATTTAAACTTCTTTATAAACCCTATCTAATTTTTTGAGATTCAAGTAGCTCTCTTTTTTATTTTTTTTTTGAGTAGAAAATTTTGTAGTTTTTCGATTGACCAGCATGGAATATTTTTGGTTACCACCTCAAGCACTCAAAGGACGATGACGGTCGCCGGGCTTCCGAAAAAGGGTTCCAAGGGTCCGGCATTTGGGACCCCCATATGTATGTTTGTTCGTGTGAGCCGCAAAAATATTTGCATAGTTACCTTTAATGTGGTTCGACAGCGTTTTCCAGCTCGGGCACGGCTTTTGGTTTATTTCAGGTCGTGGTGTCAGTTCGTTTTCGGTTCAGAGTTCGCAGTTCGCAGTTCACAGTTCACAGTCTCGATGCAAAGTTCTTCAAAAACAAACGAACAAAAGTTTCCTTTTGCAGACAAACACACACACACACACACAACACACATATATCCTGGCATGTAATTTAAAATGAAAAATTCTATTCTTTTGACGCAATCACACACACACACATACATCGTTGAAAACACACACCCATACTCATACGTCAACAAGCATTGATTTCATTTGCATAAATAAGGAAAAACTGGAAAGGACTGGCCCCAAGGAGGCGTGCCAGGGGGTGGCAGGAGCAGGAGCAGGAGCGGAGACAGGGTGGCTGGGTCTTAGAAGCACTGCAATGTTGATAAAGTGCCTCAAAGGAAACTATTGCCAACAATCTTGTACATACACAGTGGTTACCTTAAAAAAAATACTTAATAAACTAAAAAAATATTTAATTTTTTCATTAATTTAAGTTAAGTATCATAAAATAGCTAAACTAATCAAATAAAGCTTAAAATTTAAAGTACAATGCTTCTCAAACTGCATGGTTGCAATGGGCTGCCCAAAATAGTATGCTATACTTTTTAGAAAACCAACTCCCTGCCTAAAAATCGAGAAATTAAAGTATTTTCTGAACAGAAATCTGTATAAAAACAAACCTCAAGCCATCTTAAAGCAATCAAGATTATAATAAAGCAAAATCCATACCTGAAATAAAAGTAAAGCTAAGAACAATGAACCAGACTTCACAATACATAATCCCCCACTCGAGTGGCTAAGTAATTATAAGTAATATGGCCACTGTGCCACGCACTGTCACTCCCCCCATCCATCCAGAAGCCCCAGACCTCCCAGACCCCCTTTTTTATATACCTCCACCCATGCCTCATGCCTCTAAGGGCGACGGCAGTCAAAAATCGCATAAATTAAAAAACTGCACACACTCACGCACAAAAAACGCATGGAAGGGGTAGGGTTTGGGGTTGGGTGTGGCTTGGTGGGTGGGGGGGGCGGTGTAAAGGCAACCCTTTTGCGCCATACCGACACCCCCTCCCGCCTCCAGCTGTCGCTCACCACCAAGGAAGTAATAAAGTATCTCGAAAGTAACTTATTAACCATGCTGACAACGCTGCCAGCTCCTGGAGCTCCCGTTGCTTCTATTGCTCCTGCAGTCAGGATATCAGGATGTGTCTGTAAAACTCATACACACATACACCAAGAAAAAAAATACACACACACACACACATTGAAACAGGTTTGTGGAGGGTGGGCAGGATGTAGTCATGTTTCATGTTTGCTAATTGCAAGTCGATTTTTCATTTCGCATTTCTCTCCAGAGTGTCGTAGTCGTAGTGGACCTGGGACCTGGGAGCAAGGACCAAGGACCAAGGACCAAGGACCTCAACCTGGACCCCAACCTGGAACTTGGGTCCAAAGCAGGCACTGAAAGAAAAATATTAAAAGTAGGATTTCAGAGGGAAGACTATATATTGTGTATATAAATGATAAAAAATATTTAAAATTAAAATAATTTAATAAAACATTATATCTCTTTGTTTTAAAATTCTAGTTTTAAGATATTAGAGGTTTAAGATTTAAGAAATAATATATCATTAAAGAAACCCCAAGAAAACCATAGGTATTCTTTAATTTTCAAACTTCCTCCAGTTCTTTAATCTTTAAGGTTATTTTATTTTTAATATTTCTTCTTTAAACTTAATTAATTTTTTATAATTTTTCATTTTTTTTAAAATCATTTATTAACTATTTAAAGATCTTTTAAATAAATCAAAGCCGAGCTTTGGAAAATATTTTTGCGGTTCGAGGCA